GCATGTCCTCATAGAAACCCGTCGGCAGAGCTCGAGAGCATGCGCATTGGAAAGTGCGCGCAGGATTAAGACAAAGTCTGGGCAATAAGGCGATATGGCTTTACCAGAAGACGGAGAGTACTAGGTAGGAGCTGAGCTCGTAGAAACGATGTTGGAAAAGGTCGAGACTGCAGTCAGAGCTATGCTGGCTGTAACGATGGGAGAAAGGGCCAGAATTGCAGTAGGACCTGCTGGAACAGCATTGGAGTAGGCTGGAACTACAATGGGAACGGCTGGAGCAGTAGGAACCATGGTGCTACTCAGAGAGGGAGATGAGTTAGGTGTGGTAGTGAGTGTAGACTCTGTTGATCTCGCTGGCAAGGCGTGAAATCTTTGAGTCTGCCATCTGGGCCTCGAGCTCGACATCACCAAAGAAACTTGGCATGCATTGTGACCTTGTGTCCGCGGCATGGATGGCGATAAAGGATATGTCTTCACCTGGAGTCGTCCTGCCAGAGATTCTCATGAACCGAATCGAGCTCAGTGTATGGCGCTCCAGACCAGTCATATCACTTCTTTTGTTCCCCGAGCTGTCTCTATAGACAGAGATGTAGTGCTTGCCTCGCCTCCTTCCACCTTGCTTTCTGAGAAGGGCCTTCTCTGTGGGCATGCCGTCCACGAACAATGCAGCATTGTAGGGCTCAGAGGATGCCGCATTTCTTTGAGCGCTGCGGACATGTGTAATTGAGCTGACAAAAACACTGTGGCTAGTGAACATCATATTGGGGCCGAGTCCGTCGTGGTAGTTACCGGCCTGGAATCTGCTAATGTGGTATCTCCATTTTATTTCCTGTCGACTGAGTGTGGAGGAAGTGGGAGGCAGTTGTGATACTGTTGGCGTACACTTTACAGGATCGTATGTGGCTGGGTTCAGTAGAATGACAAGGCTCTTGACATCGAGCTGGACCAGGACATTCGTGAGGTGCGCGTTAGGCCTTCGAATATTTAGACCTTCGCGATCCTCGCCTGGCAGCAGATGATAGAGGAAAGCCGCACCTGAGTGGTAGCCGGCTTGACAGATCTCGTCCTACACCACGTGTAGGTCGAGGCATGCAGTCTCCGCATGTACTTTTTTCCAGTGTCTGATCATGTCGTCTTGTTTGTTTTCGTTGACTTCCTCGACTCAACCAGACGAGTCTCTAATTAGCGTTACCCTCCCGAATGTCACTTCTGGGGCTTGGATTAGAGGCGATGCGTGGCGAGCTTTGACGTGCGTGAGCAGCTGCAACTAGAACGTACCTTTGAGGATGGAGTGTAACATAAGAGTAATCAGCGACCATCTTACCCGCTTCTTGTCTCTTTTGCTTATTGTGACCTCCTTCCGACTCGATGTGATATGACCTTTTCCATCGGTAGTGTTCACATCTCAATCAATGAGCTGAGCAACGAGCTTCTGATTATAATTTCTAAATTCAATCATTCTTCCACGTACGGCCACAGTCAGCTGAAAACTGGGCATCCCGTCCGCTCTGCCATACATAAGCAGTTGAACGGCAGATTAGTACTACGGTGGGTGACCACGTGGGAATCCCTGCTGCTATACGTTTTGCATTTTTTCTGTTGGAACCCTTTGTCAATCGCCATTCTTGTCTTTATCTTTCCAGTTCGCGAATCGAAGAGCTTGCTGTTTTGGTGCGTTGTTGAGCGTGGGTCTCGATGGAGCAGCTGCCGAAGCTGTCTCTTTTTTTTTTTCTGAAAGCAACGAGTCTGGTGCCCGTCTTCAGACATCCGGTTTCTGATGGATGGACTTCTCTGCCAGACGGTATCTGTTGACCTGTAGCATGGCTGTATCAAGCTAGTAGACTGTCCGGTAAAAGATTCGTGCGAGATACATTTTGTCAAGCGAAGATGGTCAGCCACCAATGCAACGCATACTCATATTACTAATGGTCGATTTCGAAAAACGAAAACATGGATTAATTCGGTACTGACAGTACCTACATCTCGCTAACTCATACACACCGTGTATGATACATTGAAGTACCTTCAGACAAGATTCTATACCATCCAGAGCTCTAAGTGACCCACGATGCCGTCGATACTCCAAAATCAGCTTGCCGAGAGTACGACCCTGTCCACATAAACACCTCTGACCAGAAACGACGCAGTCATCTTGTACAAGAAACAAGTAGTATCAGAGAACTGAAGTACTATGAATTTGCTATGATGTTACCTACATAAATGATCTAGACTCACAAAAAGGACTCAACAACGTTCTTCCCCTGTGCCATGCAAATATCGTAGTACAAATTATCAATGAGGCAAAGACAGCAAGGTGTAGCGAGGAGAAGGAGAGGCTATTGCCTGTCAATACCTCTTTCACAGCGGAAATAAGCATATGCAGACCGATCACGGATAGTAGCATGCACAGAAGACCATAATCCACCAGCCCGCAAGAATTTCTCGGTAGTTACCTGTACACCGGATTGTACGTTGAAAGTCCTGCTGCAGATGCATATCACACTCGCTCGAGTGCGGTTATTTCAACTCGAAGCTCGATATGGCCTGATCGTGGTCAGACCTACGAACTCTCCCACACACCGACTCATAGTTCTGTTGAACCATTGAAGTCGCATGCAAGGAGGCCAGCGTAAGTGATATAGGTTCGGTTGGTGCAAGAACGACACCTCCTAGTGGACCGAGAAGGGTCTCGGTTGACACGTACACATACCTTTCAAGAGCTGCACGAGTTGCATGCATTCTCGAGCCGTGCCGCTTGAAAGATACTCTGTGAGACGAATTAGTTGGCGGCTCGTTCTTCGTGTGGAGACAATCTGTGGTTTGTGTTGCATCAGTAGACTCGGTCACACGCAGAGGGGAGCGCGAATGGGATGCCGGCAAATATTCTTGGGGCTGCAAACGGTTTCGGGAGTTGTGAGTCCTAGCTTGATGTTGGAATTTGACAATGATTTCGGCGAGCCGATATGATGTGATGGCTGGCTGTACTTCTTGTTGGGTCGCTCTTGAGAGTATAATAATACTTTTACTCCACCGGAGACGCAACCACGGGACTCCTGGAGCTGACCTCGTATCATCATTTGGCCTCTGGTCGTATGGTACTTGTTTTGTCGATCCAGCGAAGGGCACGAGTAATCGATGGCTGGGTATCAGCACCAGAGCCTCAAGGTTGACCGACATTTTTTCGGGTGTTGGCATCGGAAACGTCAGCCATACCAGGAAATGAATAGATCTGCTGAACTTCGGTGAGTGACATTCGTGTTGTGCATATGTATTGCTGTAAGTATCCGATAGTAGAATCCATTATCATACGAGGTACGGTCGCAATATATTCGGACCGTTTCATTGCCAGCCTGGTGGTGTTTCCTCGGTAAACAAATTTGTGACGACGAGTTGCGAATGGTTGGATAGACGCGATGGTCACATCGGCGGAAGAGTAGGTAAGCGCGTTGCGCGTAAACAGTGCAGTTACCGCCGTCGAAGTTGAACATAGATTCATTGAAGCCAGGTGCATGTTTGATGGATTCTAGCCCAGGTTTGAGGTCCGCTCAGCGTCTGATGGAAAATATGTATACTGTGTCGTTGACATAGAGTTTGCTTCTCGAAGCCTGCGAAGTGTTGACTTGCTGACATGATTTGCCAAGAACGTCAGCGAGGCGGCTGCAAAGAAAATCTGCACGTCTCTTTGACCGATGTTGTGTTACTGTTGATCTTTGATCGTAAGAGTGGATAGAGCCCTGAGTCCTGAGGCAACCATTAGGGTGGTGATGCGAGCAAGCTTGCGGACACAGCCTACTTTGGCGCGCGCTGCAGCATGCAAATGACTTCAGCTGACCCTCGCTGGCATGATATTTCCGCGCGTACGCCATGCAGGCAGTGTCAGGACTGGCGATGGTCGCGAGATGTATCTTGCATGAGTATCGAGATACGTCTGGCCCGCTGCCCAGGTTGCGGTGAGATTTCGATAGTGTCGAGGACCAGGTTACTCGAGCATCAAGGTGTCGCAGCAGGCACGCTCACAACAGCTTGCAGTCGAGAGCTCCTGCAAAGTATGGAGACGCAACGATTGTGGCGCAAAAGAATAGATCACCGACTACCTACCTCGAAGGGAAGAGCAGCCTCGTGCAAAACGCTTTCAGCACTGGGGCTGTCGGATCGTGCCCTAATCCTCTGCTGCACGCGACTGTGTTTATGGCAGAGAGTCCATGGTGCTCTGACTTGCTCATGAAAATAGATATCTGACAGCTTGCGAAGACCAAGTACCAAGTATCGGAAGATAAAATAGACAACCGAGACATGGACGCAGGTGCTGGGGGTTAGAGTCGTCGCACGATGGACTAGCCCCCTTGATGCCAGGCACTGTGACAGCTTTTGCCCGGTGATCGTACGTGTTATTTGACAAGGAAATTCCCCAGCTGGATGATAGAAGAAGCCACTACTGTCAAGGATATGCAGTGNNCGCTCCTCGTACAACCATCTTGACTTGCAAAGCCTTCCCGCATATGTCACTGCACTCCATGACAGCTACCTTGTACAACGGCACAGTAGGCGTGAGTTGCAACTTCGAGTCGCTCTGTNNCAAAAACGCTCAACAGTGCCACGTCTGTATCGGTCTGCCTTGTGCTCAGCTATAAGGAGATGCGCCAATCTATGGCCTTTTCTCAAAAACCTCCATCGAGTGACGACTCACCATGTCAATCCACAAAACACCCAGGATGACCAACACTAATGTAACATCAAAGCAAGGAAGTCGGTCCTGTAACGCACTTGAAAATTTGACGTGTACTCAAGCAGGCATGAAGAAACTGAATATTGGCCCAGATCATTGGAGCGAGTGAGCCCTGAATGCAGCCCCAATCTAACATACAACATGCTTAGCCTCCAATCCAATTCATAGTCCAGAAACTGCCAAGCTAGACGTGTAGTCGCTCTATATTGCGCTCAGTTCCCATGCATATGCCGTGTTCGTAAGCTTGACTGCATGACACTATCTCCAGAGATGATCAGATACCGAAGGGCTTGCGATCCATCCGCCAACCGCTAGTCTCGCTGGCGTGCTGGCTCATGGGTGAAGGCGAGGTAGACCAGTCTGGGTATGGCTGAGTGCTGCAATATGGTCCAAGAAGATCGCGATTGTCGTCGATGTTGTTGTCGGCCGGATAGGGGTTGGGAACGTTGAACATCTCTGTTGTGTTTCCAAAGTAGGATGGTGTGTTGATGGGCAAAGTCTGTGGAAGTCTTTGCTGCAACGGGGATGCGTCGACCTGAGTAATGGGATGCTGGCGAAGCTGATGTGGTCGGCGAAGATTGCGTTGACGTGCCGCCTCGGAAGAGGATGAGTGGTTGCTCAGTGGAGAGGCAGCCATCTGCTGGCGGCGGACAGATCTGCGTGTTGCCTGCCCACCCTTGGCACCTGCCTGAACGCGGATGGGTGCGGGATTGGGATTGCGTTGCGTCTTGCGCTTGCTATCTTTGCGATAGCGAGTAGTTGAGCTAATGCCGTGCTCGACAGCATGCTTGGTAAGTCGCCAGTAGCTTGTCTTCTTGGTGCCGGCCTCTTGGTTGGGTGGAGGGACTCTTTCGAATGCCTGGCATAATATTAGCAAGAGCCGAGTTGAGGACATGCCAGAAACACCAACCGCATTCATGGAAAGATTGTGGCGTACGCTGTTCTGCCAGCCTTTGTTGCTAGGATCCTGAGCCTTCGAACTGTGGGTGCGAACCCACTCGTAGAGGTCCTTGAGAAGCATGGTGTGATCGTCTTTCTTCTCCATCAAGGCCTGCCTGAGCAGTTCCGCATAGCATGGATCCGAGTTCTCCAAGCTGTCATCAGTCTCACCAGAACCTGCCAGACTGCCGATTTCATCTGGCATGGGAGAATCGGTCCATTGCCTACGGCCATACGCATTCTCATCTGACACGTTGTCATAATCCAAGGCCGGCACATCCGATAGAGGGAGAATCTGGTTGTGAAAGAATGAGGTTGGACTGGTGTTATCAAACACCGTCAGATCGTTGTTGGAGAATTGGTCGATGAGCAGAGGTTCCTTGCTAAAAGCAGCTGGAGGCAGTGATGCTGATGGTATACATTGGCTCGCATAGTTTCCAGGCGTGGTTTGAGCAGGAAGCAAAGCGAAAGGCATAGAGGTCTCGGTGAATTGAGGCAGATCACCGACCCAGTAGTTGGGCATAGCCTGAGTGCTTTGGTATACATCATTGACGTGAGCTGGTGCGAAGAATCCGGAGTCACGCTCTGAATTCTGCTGTTGCAAAGGGTATTCTGACGCGTGAATGCTGTCGGAGCGACAGTGAGGAGTGATTGACAGGCGGTGAATGTTGTCCACAGGTTGGTTCCACCAATCCAGCTGGGAGTTGTAGGTCATCGCGTAGGTCATAGTTTAATGCTGCTAGGTATAGATTGATACTGCAAGCGCGGAGTGAAAGATGCGACAGATGTCGCAACGAGGTGAGTCAATCAAGAGCTTTGATCTGGATGAGGATGTGGAATGAATATAAAACAATCTAAGACACGTATGGGCAAGGGTTGGAAGCACCTTATATGCAACGTGACAAAGGATCGGAAGCCCATGAGCTTCAGAAGATGTGACCAGTCAAGGGCTGATGTTCCTGCATCCAGTGATCAGACCGAACATGAAAGAAAGATCCCGTCGAGCGTTTAGCACAATGTATGTCTATTTCCAATACGCTGTCCTGAGCTGGCCTGAAAGAATCAGCAGAGAGTGGTCAGTTGCATGACAAAAAGCATCAGAGCCTCCATGTTGGAGTTCCACAATGAACAGCGGATATATCTCAGCAGGGACACAAAGAAGGCTTGGACATGATGGAGCTGGAGCATCCCGTGAGAGCGCAGCCCCATGGCACACCTGATGGTCCTGGCGAAGCTCAATCACCAAGACGTGGAGAGGGTAACGCCCGAACCTTCCGGAAGGCATATCCGTTGCGGGCTGTGTGACGCTTGAAATGCAGGTGAGCGGCTGCAAGCACACACACACACACACACACGCACTGTTCATCAGCACGAAGTTTGACCTAATTCTACAGCATAGCAAGTATGATTCTGAGGCAGGAACATCTGCTTGAGGGGCGTTATTGCATCGCAATTGTGCACGATCACCTCTACTTGCCTACAAAGCATACGATCAATATCGTCTTTGTGGAGAAGATATCTGTTTGATGTCAGACAACGATTTGAACGGGAAGCAAACTCTACACTACCAGGCATGGTCTCAGAAGAGTTTATTACTTCGATCAGGCACAATAATGCCAAGTGCAGCTTTTGCTCAATAATTGGCTTCATGAGCACGGACTGGATGTTGTCAGAGCGGCATTGGATCTACAACAAAAGCATGCTGAAATCCCGGGTACAGACATGCACGAAGCCGGGCCCTGCAGCAAAGGCGTTGATGATACACATGTTTCGGACCAACAGGTGTTTCTGAGCGTGCATGATTTGGAATTGACATGCAACGAAACGTGAAGTCGTAGTTGCGTGTCATGCTCATCCATAGCAGTGAATGATGGGTTGAAAACGCTGATCTGTCGAAAAGCTGTCGCGCAGCAATCCAGGTTCGATGCTTATTTTCTGTAATAGATTTTCTTGAACTGGAAGTGTAGTTGGAGAATTCCCTATGATGACATGTCAGAAAAGCTCAGGCTAATGCATAGTGATCTGCATGATGTCAAGCTAGTCGCAGCAGCATGTGTGTGCAGGAAAACAGTGTGCTCTCCAGTCTTCGTCAACCCGTACTCCCAGCATGCAGTGCATTGTGTCTGCCGCCGGCAAGGCACCGTCCGTTGCTGGGAGATGGTTGCTAAAGTCAAACAATAGCTGCAACCAGGGAGATGTACCATGAAACCCCGCGAATTGACAGGAAAGAAGAAGGAGGTTCTGACATACCTTGTCAAAGCTGCTTCTGAAGCCACGCTCACGCTTTGCGCTGTAGTCCCATTCTTTGTCGACGATACGGAAGGCAATGTCCTCATATGGTGGTCCAGCGATGAAACGAATGAGACAAGTATCCTCGGCTCCAGCAGGGGCAAATGATTCACCCCGCTTGCGACCGTTCTCGCGTTCAATGCGGAAGGTGGGTGCTTTGGTTGTGTCGACGAGATCGGGGTAGAAAATGTTGAACTTGTAGCCCTGAACGACCTTGGGTGGAAGGTTTTCGTGGTCGTAATGAGTCTGGTTGTACTTGTTCCACTCGTAGCCCATTTGAACGCGGTTGAAGTAGCGTGGTTTTCGTGGACGGTATGTCTCGGCCCACTTGGGTCTTCCGGTTGAGACATCCTCCTCGGCGTTGAATGCTTCCTCGTTGTCGTTGAAGCCTCTCGCGGCCTCTCGGTCATACAATGCACTTGTAATCCTAGACGTGTCGTCCCGTTTTGGTTCAGAAGACAAGGCGACCTCGGCGTTGGAGATTTTGGTGCCATGACGAGCTGGAATATAGCCGAGCTTGAGGACTCTGCGCCTATCTTGAACNCTGCACTTGAGTCAGCATAACGCTTTGTCGATCTATGCAGCGGCGCTTACCAATTTCTGCTTGAAGTCTTCCTCTTCGAACGAAAGCAATGTTTTGTCTTCTGGGTTCAAGCGTAACAAGGGTTCCGGGTCCAAGACAGCAGATGATGGTGTGAGTGGCGTCTGCTCTGCTGGAGCGGCAAGCGAAGAGGACTTCAGACTTTCTCTGACCTTGTTGCGTAGGGCTAGAGCGTCTTGTTCTTGTTGCTGTCGCAAGGACACCAGACGAGCACCCAAGACAGATTTGGAGACTTGTCGCAGCCTGGCCTTGGCCTTGTAGATGGACAGGCTCTTCAGAAGATTCTCCCAGTAATCGACATCAATATCGTCGTTGGATCTCAGCTTTGCCTTGACCTGCTTCTCCAAAGCCTCGAGTTGTTCGTGTGTCTTGGGCGCAAGAAGGCGATCGATCTCAGGAGTCACCGACGACATTCCTCGAGCAGTTTGGAGCTTGCCAGGGGTGGCACGGCGTCGGTCTTTGCAGATGACCTTCATTGTCTAGCAGGGAGGTTAGCTGGATGGTAGAGTCACAAGAGCGGTTGCAGGACGTACGTTCCAGAAGTCGCGGTTACTCCTGCTGTGCTCGAGGGTCAAGTAGGTGTCGATTCCCTTGTCCAGTTCGTCGAGTTCAATGTCGTCGAGGCCTTCAAAGATACCCTCGGGGTCCACAGCGGGAAGTTCTCCATCGTCATCGTCGCTGTCGTAGCCGTCGCGCGTGGCATCCAGGGCGCGTAGTGTGACGGCAAGCAGATCGATGGGGTCGGCTCTNCCGGCGCGTGCTCGAATAATGGCCTTCTTCTTGGCCTGCTTGAGCACAAAGCGGTCTTCGTTGGCAACCCACGCTTCCTCTTGGGCATCGGCGGCGCTTCGTTTGGCTGGAATGCTGGACCTGGGTGGGCCGCCGCGTCGCATAGCCCCGTGATCCATCGTCGTAGTCTCTCTGATCGTTTCACCTCTGGTCGGCGATCTGGTGGTTTCCTCGACACTGGACAAATGCTGATTCGAGAGCAAACAAGTCTCGATCTATTCTTGTCGCATCTCAAAACGCGGCTTCCCTTCTGACGCGCGCCAAGAGCAGTGAAGCTGTTTCTGCCAGCCCTCCCTTTTTCCAGCCACACCAACTTTCACTCTCGGAGCATCTCGTCTCTAGCATCCTCTCGTGATATGATCCAGCAACTTCAACATGGGTACAGAAGGGCGTTGGGAGCTCCTCAATCTCAACCTTGAGGGCTTGCCCAAGCTTCTCGTCAAGTATGTTATTGGCGACGCTGGCTACTCTGTATCTATCACCGACCTTGCAAACATATGGATTGAGACTCTAGCCAATCGAGATGTCGTACGAAATGCAGAGGATCAAGCTTGCAGCATCAATCCAGGCGATGATGCCGGCCAGTTACGCCTGTTACTCGAACAGATACGCGATGTTCTTCATCACGAGATTGGCACTACTGTTCACCTTGCCCTTCAGCCTCCTGACCTTCTGAAGCTTACACTGAGAGCTCCCTTGCCACCTCCTTTGCCTCCCTTCGAATGGATCATGCTACTCAGCAAAGCCATTCAGATTGAGGTGGTTTCTGAGGTCATTTCACCCCTGCTTCTCCTTGCTCATCGACAGCAACAGCAGCTTAGCTTCCTGCTCGCTCAACTAAAGGACAAGGATCATGCCATGTCGAGATTGCTTGACAAGATGGAAGCTACAAACACGGATCTTGGCTCTGTCTTTCCAGGAGTCTCGGCTGGCAGGAACTCTCAAAGATCTTTGAAAAGGAACCATGTAGCCAGTCGGGTCCCAGGCCTTGCGCCCTTCCAACCTGGCTCGGAGCTGCAACACAGTGGGGGCTCACCCTCTAATGAGGCGCTGTATGCCGTCCTTCGTGATGTGCCTGGTGATATGGCTCCCAGCTTGACTAACACTTCCAATACATGGTGGCAGGATATGCCCACGCAACAGGAAAACATAGAAGTCAGCGTACCAATGCCTTCGGTCCTGGATGATGACGAAACAGACGACGATCTGGACTTTCAAGTAAGACAATCAGCACCATCAAGGTCCTGACTAACGGCGAGCNAGACACAGACGATACCAGAGCAACTGCAACGGCAGATGCCTGCTAATATATCTTCTCCGGTCCGCTCGTCCAGACGTATCCAGAGACACATTTCTGCTAATGACGATAGCACCGACGATGGCCGAGTCGCATCGTCTCCCCCTCCCCCTCCTGCTCTTCGCAACTTCCGTCTCGGACAGACGGAAACCCCTGCACCTGACAGCCCGAGCAAAAGCTCCAACACACAGGCAAGACGGATAGGAGCAATAGGTGGCAGATCAAGCTCTCAAGCTCTACCGCCTTCCTCGCCACCTAAGCCGCCCACAGATGTCGAACTTGGTCACAACCTGCGCTCAAGAACCATGCTGTCACCAACTCCATCCTCGATGTTGCCTCCTCAGAGCCAAGTGTCTCCCTCTCGAAGACGTAGGCTTGGTGGGGTCGGACGTGGCAGCTCACAAATCCAGCCATCACTCAGCAGATGGTCGTCACAAGCTCCGCCTATACTGGAAGAAGACCAACAGGACAATGCTGATTCTGAGTTGGGACTCACGTCTACAGCTCGCGAGAGTCGTGAGGACACGGCTGAGGTTCGGCAGACTCGAGCAAAGCGCNAAAGCCAGCGAGGAGCAACCGATCCCAGAAGAAACATCGGCGGAGAGAGCCAACAGGAAGAGGCAAGAGTTGAAACAAAACGAANNAAGTCGAAAGCGTCCGTGAAGAAGAAGAGGCGGTTCTAAGCTAAGTAATCATATATCACTGTGACGAACAAATGTTGTGACGAGCTCTCCTCATTGCAAGGTGCTGGTGTTTGACTCTACAAAGTGTATGGCTGTAGAAAAACCACGGATTGATGAAGGTGTCGCTTGAAGGTCAGTAGATCTATGTTCATCAGACCCGATTTTGGTGGTCAGATGAGCGTGCATTGCGATATTTAATCACCGCAGCGACTCGAATACCGAAATAGAATCTCTCGGTGGCGATTACAGACTAGGAAGTTCGAACGATCTGTTTGTGTTTGCCTGTTTATCATACGCGGTCACCCACCACACAAGCTGATTGATATAGACATACATCACCATTGACTTCACAGCCATTATTGGCTGAATGTCCAAGGCCATGTGCCAATATCGATACCATTATTATGGTCATTGCCGACATCAAGAATTCATTCTTGTCAAGCTTTGTGAAGGCGCCGTCCCTCTGGCTCACTTTGACAAACACCAGCAAAAACACAACACAGAAGGCGCGAGTGTCAAAGCGCCTCCCGCCGACACAACAGCTGCGTCTTTGTGTGCAGTCGAATCTGATCTCTCCAACACAGAACCATCCATTGTTTTGACACGAGAAGTTGATCAATCTATCTATCCATCGAGTAACACCTTACACATCATAGTGAGGTTCGTCATCCCATGCAACCACGCTTTTGATATGCTCATTCTGACAAGATCCAGCGCTATGGCTCCTGATACCCACGAGATGAGGTTAATATCATCATCGATGCCCTTCGACTTCGTGCAAGACTTGCTGACTCTCAACAGCGACCACGAGCATGAGTTTGCACAGGAAGCCGAATGCCGTTACAACGATATCATCAGCGGCGGAAGACCTCCTGCATATTACAAGGCCATCGAGATTCAACTACAGCAAGTCCTTGACAGAGTCCGCCAACTCGGCAACCCAAGCGCTTCGGCAGCTGTAAGACTTCAAGAACTCCATGAACACAACAGCCAGTCGTCAGGCCAGACAGTCTCGGCCAGTCCTTCGACTCCTGATTCCATGCCTCTTGAGAATTTTCCTGCGCTTTCTCTCACGACTCGCCCTCGTAACGATGCTCTGACCCAAACTTATGCAAAGGCGGTTAAGAACTCTCTTCCACAACCACCGCCTGTTGTCGCCCAGACACGCGAGCCCCATATTCTGTCCGAGCCCCAGACCGTCTCTCGTATCTCCGACCAGGATGAAGACGGCGATTGGCATCTCGTCGACCGCTCAGGTCGTGGCACTCGTTCCCAGAAGCAGCACGCTACTATCACCGAACGCCATGCACGCAAGTCACTCCCAAAGGCATGGATGCAGATGGACGACGATGTTCACACTGCACGTTTGACGCCTGAGAACATACCGATGGCACCCCACTCGAGTCCCAACAAGTCTCTGCAACGCACCGCTCGCGTCAAAGGCACTCATACTCAGCTGGCTCAAGCCCAAGCCAACTCACTCAAGTCCAAGCCGAGCAAGCCCACTTTGACCAAGGCTACAGCATCGAAGACACCAGGCTATGCCTCGCCCACAAAGGCCTCGAAGCATCGCACTGCTGGAACATCCGAGGCCGCTAGATCTCCTTCTCCCTGCAAGCCGAAGTCCGTGCGTGCCGACATGATGTCTAGTGCAGCCATTTCTCCATCAGAACAACAATCTCCTACTCGATCTGTGGCATCTGCTGTCTTCGACGCTTCCAGACGCAAGATTTTTCCTGCGCATGGCAGATACACACCAACCTCGTTCCCATTCGGTCTGGATGGAACGTTCGAGTTCGATCAAACTAGCATGTTGCAGTCTTTCTCTGGCAACTCTGTACGTCCCTCAAAGAAAACAAAGCTTGATCTGAGGATCAACATCCCAGATCCTTCCAGTAGTTTGCCTCGCCCAGCCAGCCCTTCTCGAATTCCTATCGCTGTTTCGTCAAACACATCAGCTACTGATCTTGGGCCTGTAACTCCCAACCACCCGACTGCACAGATGGTCGAACTTACCATAGCTGGCATGGCTACTTCCAAGCCGATCGACAGAGCCTCCATACTTGATCCCATCAGAAGATGTCTGTCTAGTGCTTCTTCATCTTCTACCAGCCAGCGACGATCAAGCGCTTCTTCGGCTGGACAACCACGCAGAGACTCTGGAGCTACGCAGTCCAAAGAGACGGCTTGCGTCAGGGACAATTTCACAGCCACGAAGGAGCCCGACATGTTCAACGAGTCCGAGGTGACGATTACTGAGACCGGTGCTCACAAGAAGACGCAACAGTCATCCAACACTGTTCTTTCTTCATTGATAACCAAGCTCGAGCCCGCTTCTGCTCTGCTGCTCGACACCATCAAACAGACCGCCGAAGCTCATGCTCTCCAACAAAGCAGCAGTCTAGTCAAGACATCTGTTGCACCATCCTCAAGCATGGACGAAGCACATCAAGCAGAAAAGCTGCGTGAGTTCCAGGCAGCCTGCCGTTCTCAACACATCTCCTGCACTTCATCTCCGCACAAGGATCCCGCAGTGGTGCGATGCGGTCCAGTCAAGGCTCAAACCTCGAAGAGCCAGCCGAGATCCACCTCTGGCCCTGCTAGATCTAGCCTGCGTGCTACTGCTGCTCACTTCGTTCCTACACCTACTTCAGAAGAAGAGTTTGGACCGTTGAGTGCCCCGGAGCCTGCTTTCAGACTTCCTCTGCCACCTGCACCTTCCACTCGTGTCGCGCCCACGCTTGGGTTGGCGCCACTGATTGGCCCTACAGTTTTCCCTGTTTGTCCACCTGTTCTTCCTATGGCAGTTCTCCAGCAGCTCACAAATCAGTGCCCTTCGGCTCTTGATGACTGTCCAAGCTGGATCCCCGACGATGAGTGGTACGATCTTCCTTTCGAGACCAAGACGGCCATCCTCAGAGAGCGAAAAGAGCGTAGATCCAGCTCTGCGTCGTCTCCTGGAATCTCCTCAGCGATTTTCTCAAATTTCACAACCAGCCCATCTTTGTCCTCGCTTGGACCCGTTGTCGATCCAGGCATGAATGTCTACAAACCGCAATGGGATTGGATGAATCCTGGTCAGAGTGGAGTCAGATTTGGCAGGGCACCTCTTCCGACTATGCCTGACCTTCGAGACGATGGTCTTCACCGCAGAGGCTGGGATGTCAAATCCGCCGCTCCCGGATGGCGCTATGGTTGGCGTGGTGGCGATGGTCTTGAGATTTCGTTCAAGGGTGACGGACCAGTTGCCGAAAGAAACCCCAACGCACCAGTCAACTTCAACGAGTACGACAATGGCTTTTACGGCAAGCCTACTAAGAAGGGCCAAAAGTATGGCGGGCGTCCCTGGTCTAAGAAGAACGGAAGCTCGCCCAACAGCCGTGTCCGAGAATGGGCTAGAAACGCGCACTATCCTTCAATTCCTTGCGGCGACTTTGAGGTCATTCAGGCGACTGAGCATCTGCCAAACTTCTCTGACGCATGGTGCCACGGTTGCTTGCCTGCACACATGTGAAGTGGTGGCTACTGATATCGGGTTGTTGCGAATGAGCGAAGGATATCGCTCTGATCCTCCTATGTGTATTATTCTCTGGGATTGTTATCACTGGAATTGAAGAGTAGGATGAGGTTGAATCATGGAGATGCTCTCAGTTACTGCAGATTGTAGATCGATTGGGTTTCGATTCTCCTTTTTGCCGTTTTATACATTGTTCCTTGAGATAGATTCTCGATGGTATTACGTTCATGATTTTTCAAGTTCTTTCTTCACAGTAAAAACGTGTATACAACCAACTAGATGGTCTGTTGTCAACAACATGGAGTGGTTGTTATGCAGATTAATGACGGTTATGAAGTTTCGCGGAGATGATTTGCCGAAAAATGTGGAGAGGATCTCGAGGTAGTCTCGACCTCGAACATGGAGGATCGCCGAGCACATTGCGCATGCGCAGGAGAAGTGGTTCTGCGAAGAAGATGGATGTATCAGATGCCACTGGGGGCGCTCCGTCTATGAGGAGTGTGGTCTGGTGACCTCGCTGGCATGAATCGAATGGCGAAACAGTCGAGGAAGAGGCGGTTTGATACGAGCGGGATTAGACAAATGATCGACATGCAAACACGCCGTCGCCCCTTTGCTTGGCCCTGCGGTGTGCGGGCAGGCGCATCCGCCATCCGCATCTCGCATTGGCCCTGAACTCTGACTTATTTTTGTCTCTGACGCCAGCAATAAGGCAACACAGAATCGATCTTGCATTCTTTTCCTTCTTGCGCCCTCGCTCTCTGACCTATTCTTAACACCACCTCGCCTGCTGGATATTGTTATACTATTCGGCAGCATCATTCGTTTGTTGTCGCCACAAGCCCGTCTCTACACGAACCAACGACTTTCTGCGGGCCGCGTGATTACGACGCCTCCCCCTTCGACCTTGTCCACGACGCTGCCTCAGCCTACGAACGCACCACTCGCTCGACTGTTCACATCGCCATACGTGACGCACATCCGTGACGCGGAAATACATAAAAAATGAAGACGATACGCGCTGTGGCTGCCCTGACGGTGGCAGCGGCCTCGGCCGTTCAGGCCATGATCAGCTGCGACTCAAACAACCCCTGCCCTTCCAGCGCACCATGCTGTTCGTCCTACGGATTCTGCGGCGTTGGCGCATACTGTCTGGGAGGATGTTATCCCAAGGACTCTTTCAGCATGGATTCTTGCATGCCTGCACCTATCTGCAAGTCTTCCGACTACGACTTCAACAACATGAATGGCTTTATTGAGAACACGGAATACCTTGGAGACCCATCTAGCGGCAACTGGGTCTTTTCTGGAGATCCGTTGATGTACAACAACGAGGCTGTGTTGCTCACCATGACCGAGGATTCATCGGGCACTCTCTTGAGTAGCACACGCTATGTCTGGTACGGCAAGATGAGCGCTACCATGAAGACAAGTCGAGGCGCTGGTGTCGTTACTGCTTTCATCATGATGAGTGACGTCAAGGACGAAATCGACTTTGAGTTCATTGGTACAGATGTTGCGAATGCTCAGAGCAATTACTACTTCCAAGGAATCACTGATTNNGTAAGTCCTGTCAAAATGCTGTACTCGCACACCGCGACTAACACAACTCCAGACGGCAACGAGAAGAACCTTTCCGCAGCCAACACTGACTCACAATGGCACACTTATACGATCGATTGGACCCCTGACTCCCTCAGCTGGGAGGTTGACGGCCAAGTTCTTCGTACGCTTAACCGCAACGATACCTATAACGAGACTGCTGGCCAGTACCACTACCCTCAGACCCCCTCCAGAGTCCAATTCAGTTTGTGGCCTGCTGGAAAGGCTGGCAACGCTCAAGGTACTATTGAGTGGGCTGGTGGTGAGATTGACTGGAGCAGCCCGTACATGCAGAATGGCTACTACTATGCCATGGTCAAGGATGTCGTAAGTTCAAACTCCTTCCGTGGTCGTCATGTGTACGAGACTAATCAAGTTTAACAGACCGTCGACTGCTACAACCCTCCCTCGGGTTACAACAACCAAGGTAACAAGGCCTACTGGTACGAGAACAAGTACGCAACCAACGACACCGTCGTCGTTGGCAACAACGGTACCATTTTGTCCTCATTCCTTGCTACTGGTGAGGAGCCCAAGAAGGGTGCCAGCTCTAGCTCGACTTCTACTGCTACCAAGAGTGGCAACAAGTCCTCGGCCTCATCCTCTGCGACCGCTCAACCCGAGACCATTCCTGGTGTTTCTGGTGGTGGTTCGCGCGAGTCTGGTAGTGATGTCGCTAGCGGTGATTCATCTTCTGGCAGCAGCGGTTCGTCAGGCTCTTCTGGGTCATCGGGCTCTTCGGACTCGAGCTCTTCTTCAGGAGGTGGATCTACCGGATTCTCTCAAGGCCTTGAGACGGGTAGTGGTACCAACGATGGCAACAGAGTCGTTGCAGGCAGCCTTGTCGCGCTTGTGGCCTTCTTTGCTGCTGCAATGATGCTGTAAACAAAAGGATGGGGGATATTTTGATTTTTAAGGCTCTTTTCTTGTCAATACTGCTTGCACTTGATGCTACTTTTGCGTTTCCTTTATATTCATACACGACCTAATACCTTGGGGGGTTCGAGGTGCATAGAGCGATGGTTTCGATCGTTCAATCGACAGTATTTTTCTGATACCAAACTTGACATTATGGTCTCCTACCTGACAATGAATAGCAAAACGATACTGGATCAAAAGTGACTGCAGATAAATGCTGCACTCGATGTTCTGATGAGTGAAGTTGATATGCGCTGCAAACTTCGGAACGGAAAAACAAAGCGACCGAAGACGCACAGACCTCGATCATGGCGAAAAGGCAGGCTTGGCGTCGAAATGGCTGCGGGCTGGGGGGACGCTGCGTGGGCTTTGACGAAGTCGAATTTCTCCCGTTCTCGCACCGCCGAACGTCGTCGTCTTCAGTCCCATTTTCTTTCCGACAACCCCCAACCTCACAACACCGTCACCATGGAGAACGAACGCGGAGAGCTTGTCGACCTGTACGATCCCCCATCATTTCCTGAGACATCCGCCCTCCCCCACCGAGCAAAGAGCGCGCCCTCGAGCGACAGAAAGAGACACGGACAGAGCAGAGCACAAGAGACCAGAAGAACACCAGTGCTGACATTTTCTCGCACGCGCAGTTACGTCCCCCGCAAGTGCAGCGCCACCAACCGCATCATCAAGGCCAAGGACCACGGCTCTGTTCAGATCAGCATCGCCAAGGTCGACGACAACGGCAGATTCAATGGCGAGACCCAGGCCTACGCCCTCTGCGGCTTCGTTCGCGCCATGGGCGAGTCCGACGACTGCATGAACCGCCTTGCTCAGCGTGACGGCTTCCTCAAGAACGTCTGGAGCGCCAGCCGATAAGCGTCTCGCTCAGAGGAACCGGGGGCTTTTTTGTGTGTGAGGTGAGCGACTCTCTGGATACACAAGCATTGCAACGACAAGTGCTGATAGAGCCGATCAAAAGGACATGAAAAACAAAAACACCATGGCATCACGGAGGACCCCCTAAGGCTTTTTCCACAATGACAAAGGGGGACTCGGAGTTTGGGGTTTTTTTTAACCTTGCTGGAAACTGTCTGCTACTATTTCTAGCTGGCTGATTTTTTGCGCGCGCGCGCCATCCCTTTTCCGACAGAAGATTCCCTGGCTGGAGGAGAGATTGCAAACACACACACGCGCAACAAAAGCATATCTACAAGACCACGCAATACCCCTTTCGACTGTGCTTGTCAACGAAAAGAAAATGATATTTCCCTCCCCAAAAAAACACAACCCAGCGTGTCTGCTTTTCTCGTATTTCGTTGTTCCAACTTTCTTCTCGACTTGTCCGTATGCGCCAACCAGAGTCGCGTTTGCTGATTTACTGCTTTGCTCCACGTCTGTGTTTGTGAACGGTTCAAAAGCTTTCGTATATTTCTTATCATTACTGCCTGGTAGCTTCCCTTGTAGGTCATTCACGCTTCCATGTCTCTTCCATCTAGTCGCTCCTACCTCATCATCACTTCCATCTTCTTTTCCCAAACTCGCCCCTCACCTCTTCTATCTCTTCTTCCAACCAGCGACATAACCCCACCGGCCTCTTCTTCCCTTCCCATGATCAACGAGGCCAAGTTCAAGTGGGCAACCTCAGGAAAAGAAAAAACTAGTTTATGGGTCTGGTATTATATCCTCACCCTTGCTTTTTTTTTTTTCTCTTTTCCTTCCGCGTCGTCGCTAGATTAATGTGAATTACACAACTCCTTTGTAAGTTTGCGGCCACTTGAGAGCACAGGTCGTTGATACAGATACGGGAGGTACATATATCTTATGAAGGGTTTGTGGTATGTGATGGTGGAGGGTTTATGGATTTGGTATTGTGGGTGGTGTATTTGCTTGAAGGCTCTTCGTGACTGGTTTGTCTAGGAATTTGGTTGGATGTTGGACCGTGTTCGTCGCTCGTCGTCGTCGTCTAGATTGTGCTGTTGTGCTGTTTGGGCATTGTCACTTCTTGACCAGCAGTCTGAGACTATGACCTTCCAAGACTTGCGAGAGCTGTTGTACATCTTACCAAGCCCTTCTTCAGTTTGTAGGTAGTGATTGTCCTTTTGTGTCCTCAATCTGCACCATCAGTAGTTGTTGGGCTTCAATCATTGCGGCAAACTCCTTTGCCTCTTCAACAGCGTACTTCAAAGCCAACTCCTCAACCCCCTCCTCGTATGCCTCCAGGTTCTCTCTCGATGAGCTGTTTTCGAAGTCATCGAGATCGACCCAGTTGGTAGCTTTCTTGACTTTGGTTTCCAGGGCTTTGCGTCCAGCATCACCTCCTTGACCTTCGAAGAGGCGTTTGATAGTGTCGGAGTAAGGCTGAGCTGACTCTGCACGTGGTTTGGCGACCAAACGATCGACTGCGTGGTTGACGACTTTGGTTGGGATGTACTCGTTCGTTGTGCAAACTCTTCCCCCCAAGTTCGTCGGCATTGGATGCTCGTATTTCGATTCTCAAGGCTTTCCTTACTTTTGCTTCCTGGCATACTACTCTGCGTTCGACTTCTTCGATGTTGGCGAGAGAGTGCTTGATTGGGTCTTGAATGGTGGGGTTGTCCACCGCGATCTGGCCGATCGTGTAAAGTTGCATTGTCGTCATGGCGAGGAGATCACATAAAGTGAGGACCATCGTGTCTGATGATTGCTGAGTAGTGTGAGAAGTTTTGGATGGAGTTGCAAATAGAGCAGTTGCGAATGTGTTGGTGGTGGACGGATGGATGGAAGACGACAAGAGAGCAACGGCAGGCTTTCTATCAATGCTCCAGAAGTGCTGAGTGCCTTGAGGGTTAGTGACAGTGAGAGTTGAAAATGGGTCATTTTGGTGGAGTGATTGAGAGGAGTGATTCTGACAAAGGTTCGAAAATATATCTCTTGCACTTGTATAGGAATAACAGTGGCATGGTTCATATGGTTTTGTATTTGCTTCTTACTCTTGCTGGTTTCTAAACTCCTCTGAGGCCGATTTTTCCAAGAGCTGTTGTACATCTGGTCATGCGTGGTGTGGTCTTGTGTTGGTAACTCCATGGAGTATTCATCACGTCTCATCTAGACAGTCCGTTGAAGTAAGTTTCAACCATCTTCTTCGCGTCTTGTTTTGCGAAGCTCAGAGCCTTCTCATCGACCTCTTGCGCAAATCTCTGGAGAAGCACTCCGTAATCAATACCATCAAGAGGAAAGACACCGGCATAACCCTTCGCAGTCTTCAAGCTGGATACCAGGCCTTCGCGTCTCTTGTCACCATCTGGACCTTCAAAGAAAAGATCAAGTCTGACCGAATCGAGTTGAGGCTGGACTGATGGCGAGCGGACCTTTTCAATGAGACGAGTGACCGCATCTTTGATGATTCTGTCGTGAACGTGCCAGATCAAATCCTTGACACTGTTTCGGATCAATTAGCATTTGATTGTTCTCGGTTTTCAGTATCACTTACCTCTGATTGGCAGATTCCTGGGTATCTTTACTGTTTTGGACCAAGTGATACTCGACGCCGGCAGCCCTCAGCTGCTGCATGTTGTCATGTAGAGTGATGTTGAGCTCGCTGCCTTCTATTACAGCTCGTCGAAGGAATGGAGGCACTACAGCTTCGAGATCCATTATGGTTGGCTGATAAGAGCGCGTAAGTTTGGTAACGGTGTGAAAAGAGTTGTAGTGATACTATTGTCGTGTTGGCTAATCAGTAGGGAGCAACAGAAGAGTCGAGTCAAATATTTATGTTCTTGGCCAAAGGCTCCAAATGTCTGAGTACCATTGAAACTGACATCCAGAGTGAACGAGGTAGTAGATGTTCAATCTTGTCGTGTTTGCTGATGTCCGTACTTGATCAGAAGAGTCAGTGAAACTTGGTCAGCGAAGTTCTTCCAGAAAATCAATTCACAAGTCTGCTTGAATACCCAGTCTAGATACCAGAAACACGACGGAGACTTGTTTGAGGACAAGATGTTCATCGTCAATCACAAGATATGGGAGGTGAGAGTATCATGCACGAGGAGTAAGGTACTTGGATTGCCAAAAAGACATTTAATTGACATGATAATGCTTTCAACCCTATTGCTTACATCGCCACTTCATTATGTGGCCCAAACTGAACCCCTTAACCTGACCTTTCGAAACGGACCTTCTCAGTACCCTCTCCATCATGGAACTGTAGCAATCCCAGCTCTCAATCATCTTCCATGGCAAAGCAAGCCTGAGCCTCACGCTCAAACATTTCCTTCGCATCTTCGACCACATACTCCACGGCAAGCTTCTCAACCTCGAGTCTGTACTTTACCAGCACGTCCTCGAACTCACATGTCCAGGGATAGTCACCAAGACTACCCACATCTCTGGTTGCTCTCAGTTTGTCTTCCAGCATCTTGCGATTGGCGTCGCCAGAGGGTCCATCGAAGTAGTGTCGTAGGACAAGAACGGCGAGTTTGTTGTGGTGCGAGTACAAGTGAACCTGCTTGACCAATCCATCCACAATCTCTGAAATTGCTCGGTTGGTGAGGAAGTCTGCCATCTTTCTGGCGCTGTTNGATTTGACATTGTCAGCTGTTTCACTCGGAAAAGATGGATAAGGGGGACTCGGGAACTTCTTTGCTTCCTTCTCGATGAAGAGGAACGACTCAGAGGACAGTTCTTGAGCTTTGAACACACAGACGTTGAGGTCTCGGAGGATGTTGACGTCTGTGCCTGCATCTCTCAAGGTCTGCTGGATGACTTTGAGACTTGCGACAAGGCTTCTGGCTTCTTCTTGGCCAGCCTCGACATGATTTGAGAGTTCGAATGACAACATGTTTGTGGATCGAGGTGGTCGGATCAGTGATGAAGAACATCTACGGTTTTCTTATATAGATCATTGTCGCGTGCTCCGTTTTATCACAAGATACGGCTGCCACGTAGTTGGCGCATGTTACGATCAGATTGTAGGAACAGTCACGGTGTAATAATGACTCGTGGTTTACCCGCTGACACGTGCAACAGATGCGTCCGCTGGCTGCCTCAGCATTGAAGTCCAGCAGGACTGCCTACAAACGTGTCGTGTACAGCGCAGCACAGGTTGTAATCACTGGGACTGTGCAAAGCGTGTTCAGCGTTGTAGATGTCAGAGGTACCAACAAGCAAGTCTACCACCTTATGACCCGGAGGAGAGTGACAGTTTGCTTGTTGCTCTAGTACTTTACTCTGTGGAAAGACAGCAATCTGGATATAGTCTTCTTCCTTGTACTCATGCATGTCCAATCTGGAGGTATAGTTGATTCGAGAGGAATGTTGTTTCTCCAAATGATAGCGATAATATGTTGACGTTGGTACTCGATGGATGTTGACTGGCATGACGTGGTTGTGAGAAGACATGGGTTTTACTACTTGGTCAGTCGTGTGCAGCGTAACTGGACTTTTCATAGGCTCACTCTTGAGGATTGGCCTAGTGGTGTTGCTCAGTCTACGTGTCATCCTTCACAGGTCCTTGGACAGTATCTCTGGCATCTCCTGCACTTTTCCTATGATAACCTCTGACGCTTCTCTCCTGGCCTGGCCTTCGAAGATTTTGGGGTCAATTGTGACCAACATCCCTTTCTCGAGCTGAAAGTAGAAGGCCTCGAGTCGGATCTTGACTTGTTTGATGAGGCCTTCACGTAGCTCGGGCCAGTTTGGGGCGTGAACGTCGGAAGCCCCTTTGATGGCATGATCTCTGGGGAGGCTGTCGATCCTGCCTATGACGAAGTCGACAGCATGGCCGACTTTAGTGTCGATGGATTGNACTGATACAGCTGATTAGTCATAGTTCGATGAGTCTCATGTGAGCGGCGGTCCAACATACGCGGCAATGTCTTCCTTGGCTTGAGCCAGGATGTTTGATGCTTCGATCAAGTCGCGGTTCGTGTCCTCTTTGGTTTTGCTGGGGTCATGGTTGTCGATTTGCGCGTCCTGGATCTTTGTGAGGGCATCTTCGACTGCTTTGTGGATCTTTGACAAGTCGGGCTCTGGTTTGGTGTGCTCCATTTCGACTTGTGATGTCGATGACGAGGCGTTAGATTTGTGTAGGCAGGAGTGCTTGTTGGTCAGATGGGGATGATAAGGGATGGCAGCAAGTACAAAGCAGGCACGTTTTGAGAAACAGCAAAAACACATTTGCATCGAGTCGCGGCTGCCATTTGGGGAGTATCACGTACCAACTCTATTATGTCCCCCTTCCTTGCCAAATTACCATTCGAGGTTGCATCCAAACCTCAACCACCTAGGTTTTGTTTTTCTCGGGTCGAACACATCTCATCAAAACCAAGATGTGCAACACCATGAACCGACACGCCCTTTCCTCTCACCAAACTCAGTATCCGGACAGGCTGTCGACAGATCTCACCATCTCTCTCTGCACCAAGCCTGCGAGGGCGGCAACGACATGCTTCTTGATGGTGATTTCAGAGTCGAGTGCATCAAGGTTGGCTCTCTGAAAGACGGCGTCGAGGATGTCCTGCTTGTTGATCATCACGACAGCGGCTTGCAGAGCAGACCCAGATGGGCCAGTGAAGATCTCGCCTCTCCTGACCTCTTCGAGGGTGGTGTTCAGAACTGTGGTGACGGAGTCCTTGACAACAGAGCAGACGTAGGAAGAACTTATTATGNNATCAGACATGATTGCCTCTTGGCCGTTGTTCACGACTTACCTGGTATGGTTCACTTCCATCTTTTGGATGCACGTCTCAACCTGGGCGAGTGCGGAAGTGGCTTCGTTCTGTTGCCATTCGCGGAGGGGGGCGTAGCTCAGACGAGCACGCTTCTGGGCAAGCAGTGACTTAATTCCTTGGAGGTCGGTATCGGTGCGGAAGTGCTGCTTCCACTCGTCTGGCTGATCGGATGTGATGAGCGCGTTGGCCAGTCGCTCAATCTTTCGTTGGAGTTCCTGGTTCTCAGACTCGGTGAGGACAGTCATGTTGTGTTTCGAGGTGGTTGTTGAAGTTGAGAAGAGATGTGTAAGTGATTAAGATGTGAAGTTTTGCTCCATTTTCCAGCCGCCGCGTGTTGGAAGAAGATGCGCGTTCTGTTATGCCGCATTCTAGGCGCGTCATTTTCCAGTGTTTCCAATGCTGTTCTTTGTGTTGGCATAGCTCTCAACTCTTTCTGTCTACATGGTAACTACATCAAGATTCTGGAAGCTCGCTGCGCTTCCATGTCATCCATTCCCCTCTGCAGTGCCTTGTGCGCACCTATGGATCTCAGAGTATTTCGAAGTCATCAGAGTCGTCGACCGAGAGCTGCTGCTCGCCACTCTGTTGATGAAAGTGATTCATACCACAGTCCGCGCGGTAATCAGTCGAGCAACAACCTTTCCTTGCCAACAATCCAACCATCTCGGTTATCAGTTGTCTCATAGTGTCCTGGACCTGACGCTTCATCTCAACTTCTTCCAGATTTCCATAAGATCTTGTGGCAACATCGTTTGGTGTATTGTTGAGCGATGATGGGACATTTGGAGATTGGGAAACTCTGCTACGCGAGAAATCAGAACCCTGATCTGTGTGCTGAGTGTTGTTGCCGTACTTCTGAACGCAGTCATTGAGATACGAGAGATTGATTTCAGTCTTCTCCATCAGAGATCCTGCCTTTTCGACAACGACCAAATCTTGCTCGTGATCTTTGATCAGACCATACAGCTCGCTGACGCTCTGGTAGATCTCTCTGAGTGTGGTCGATAGCTCCTGGCAGTCGGCCATGGTATTTTGGGGAAGACTTGAATTCATGTAAGATTGGTAGTTTGGTGGGATAGAATCAGGAGAATGGTCGAACTTCAACCATGATTAATAGGACTTGCATGGTGTTGTTGGGCCCTCAGCCGAGCCCGTGGAACGTTCTCCCTACGTGTTACTTTCACCTGTATCAAGTCATATGAGAACTCACAATGGCTGCCTGGAACAACAAACAGCATCAAGAGTAGTAGGTCAAAGAAACGCATGATGTTCTGATAGGGGTGGAAAGGACGTGGTATACATGTACCGCATGCTTTGTGAGACAAAGACGGGCTTAGCGGCATATATTTTGGTCCAAGGAGCAAATAGTGTCTCGTCCATTCTCTATTCATGCTGACGTACAATCCAGGAAGACCATACTAGGTGTGGTCGATACAGCTGTTCGTGAGGGCTGACCGTCATTTGTGCTCTTACCAATAACGAGTGATCGACGATAACAGCCAGGGCTCAGGTGGAGTTGGAATAAGCATGAAAGCTTTGTCGTAGTCGAAGCCATGCGGGTGTGATTGGAGATTGTTATACGGTGTTTTCGATCTCGTCTCCAACAATTGGTTCTGTGGTGTAGTTGGTTATCACTTCTGTCTAACACACAGGCGGTCCCCGGTTCGAACCCGGGCGGAATCATCTCTTTTGTCACAGTTCGCCTCGTTTTTGGATCATAGAATGTCATGCTATAGCCGTGTGAAGCCTGGCTGAAAGTTTGAAAGTTTCTCGTCGAAGGTGCGGTCGATTGGTCGGGGCTTCGTGACCGCGACGCCGACGCCTGCGTGCCGAACTTCCCATGCTTGCCCTCCCTGCCTGAAATCTCCACATCCACCTCGATTCTCGCGTCGGACAGACTTTTTCCGCCAATGGTCTATCCTCCTCCAATCCCGTCTATCAAAATGATCTGAGGATGTGTATGGCAGGTTACTTTAACCGGTTAGCTGCCGTACACGTTCCCCATATTTTCGAGTTACCCCGTGGGCGGGACACTTGCGGAGAAACAGACAACCTTCACAGGAGGCGTCATCTTGTATGAGGGTTCTCTGAAGGATGTGTCTTTCATATAAAGCTATGGTTGGCCGCGTTACAAGATGGATCTGTATTCATTGTCATCTTTGTCTTCCTTATACACATCTGCAAGATGTTGTTCCACCCTCTCATTGCTGCGACTCTTCTGAGCGCCATCACAGCTGTTGCTTCACCGACATGGTCTGCTCAGCAAGAATTCACCAAGTCTCTACCAAAGAGCGTCTCCAAGCACCAAGGGACACGTCCAAAGACCGACATCTCTCCTAAGAAGCCTTTCAAGCCCTTCCCTTCTTCGCCTTCCAGGAACAGAGTCTGCTACGTCAGCTCTCACAATGACGGCGTTACAGATGACTCCGACTACATTCTTTCTGCTATCAACAAGTGCAACAACGGTGGTCATGTCATCTTCTCGCAAGGTCAGAAGTACGTGATTGGTACAGCATTGAACCTGACCAACCTCAATCACATCGATCTCGATATCCAAGGATACGTTCAGTTCACCAATGATACCGACTACTGGCAAGCAAACGCCTTCAAGCAGGTCTTCCAAAACGCCACGACATTCTTCCAGCTTGGTGGAAATGATGTGAATGTCTATGGTGGAGGTTTCCTTAATGGCAACGGTCAAGCCTGGTATGACTTGTATGCTCAGAACATCTACATCTTGAGACCCATTCTCTTTGGTGTTGTTGGTCTGCACAACTCGACCATCCAAAACTTGAATCTGCGCTACAGTCCTCAGTACTACAATTGGGTCGCCAACAGCACCAATGTCTTGTTCTCGAACATTTCTATTTCGGGATCCAGTCAGAGCAAGAACGTGGCCAAAAACACTGTAAGCAAATTACCTCTAAGCTCTTTGGGACGATGGTTATACTGACCGATTCAGGATGGATGGGATACCTACCGCAGCGACAACATCGTCATCCAGAACTCAGTAATCAACAACGGTGACGACTGTGTCTCGTTCAAACCCAACAGCACAAACATCCTTGTTCAAAACCTGCAATGCAACGGCAGCCACGGCATCAGTGTCGGCTCTCTCGGACAATACCCCACCGAAACCGACATTGTGGAAAACGTCCTCGTCTACAACATCTCAATGTCCAACGCCAGCGACGGCGCTCGCATCAAAGTCTGGCCCGGCTCCCCCGCCGCCCTCTCCGGCGATCTCCAAGGCGGTGGCGGCAAAGGTCGCGTCAACAACATCACCTACGACACCATGAGCATCAACAATGTCGATTACGCCATCGAAGTCACTCAATGCTACGGTCAGAAGAATTTGACAGCTTGCAATGAGTTCCCGTCCAAGTTGACCATTTCGAATATCGTCATGAAGAATATTCATGGCACTACTAGCTCAAAGTACAACCCTATCTCGGGATATGTTGTTTGTAGCAGCCCGAGTGTTTGCACCAACATCAAATTGTCGGATATCAATGTTAGCAGCCCGAATGGTACAGTCAATGAGTTTTCTTGTGGCGATGTGGATGAGAGTCTGTTGCAAGGTATTCAGTGTACTACCATCAACAAGGGGTACAACTGAGCTCTGCATCTGTATATAGCGACAGAATTATGGACTCGATATCATAACGGATATATACAAAAGTCAGCAAAGTATCTGAATCATGGGATGTCATTTGAGATTTCGCTTGATCAAAGAACCATGACGACGGCAACAAACCATGCCCAAAATCACGGTCTCACAACTTGGTCCCGCGACTTTCAGCCAGCACCTCCTTCCTCCAACCAACTTCCACCCTCCTCGGTCCCTCCTTCTTGAACTCCACCAGCACAACTCTTTCATTATCGCCCTTCCTTCCCTCAGCCTCGGCCTCGGCACCAGGCTTGTCGAGACCTAGGACCACTCTGCCGTCTTCTCTCTTCTTGCCTCCCAACACTGTAGGCGAGATGCACTTATCACCCCAGTTGCCCTCCTTGACAAAGCTAAGTACTTGGTCTCGTTGCTTTTGTAGTGTAGCAGAGTCTGGTACTGGAGCTTCTTTGCCGACGTCGCCTGACGGGCAGAGGAAGGGAGAANNAAGCAAATACATGAGGAAGAACTGAGGAGGGAACAGAACTATGCGGGAGGCGCGAGCTAGACGTAGCCATGTCGCTGCTGGGAGAAAGCGAGCAGCGGTGTGCTCGAGACCGCCATCGTGCGTAGGCACCGGGATCATGGTCTCAGGCTCGTCTTCTTCGGCATTGGAAGATGACGACGGCAAGTTTTTCGGCGTGTTGCTGAGAGGGAGTAGATAGATGTACATCTGAGTTGTGAAACGTTTGGGCAAATTCGTGGGGGTTATCCAGCGGGTGAATGGAATGAGGTTGTCTGCTTGGACGTCAGCTTCGGCTCAAATAAGTTTGTGCGAGAACAGCCACAAGAACTTACCAAGATCAGCTTTTGCACTCTTTTCCTCAAGCCAGTCTTCGAACTTGATCTTGTCTCCGTGCACAAGCTTTCTGATTTTCACCCTCTCTTCCTCGTCTACTTCCAGCAGTTTTCCGTCTTTGGTTCTTGCTAGAAGGATGCCACTCTCCTCGAAAGTCTCACGGACAGCAGCCATCCGGTAGACGTCGCTATCATGGTGACGGGTATTATCCTCAGGAGCAGGTGGGTTGCCGTCGTGGAATGGAGATATGTTGCCGCCTGGGAAGACGTGTGCAGAAGCAAACGACGATGAAGTTTGTACTCGACGCAAGAGGAGAATCTGGTTTTCTGGCGATATCAAGATGACACTATGAACATCGTTAGCCGAGCGATATGTAGAAGGTGCCAACATGGATTTGTGTTTTGCTTGTGATTGGAAGGCCAGGGTCGCGCCGACAGCATGTTTTTGGGATGCCATCTCTAGTCTGATGGGACGAAAACGAAGGGAAGTGCTTGAAGGATATTCACGGTGAAACCGGAGATCGTAGAGCCATAGGATAAGGGAAAAATAAGGCGCGGGCGAGTAGGTTGCGCCAGAAGACATCGTAATTTCTAATGTGAAAAATCGCAGACCGCAAGATACGAACAACAGTCACAACTCACCTAGAACTTGGTCTCGGAATGGCAGGCGCCTTCTTGCCCTTCTCGCCGTTTCCCTCGTACCCTTTTCCTAAAGCTGTAGTACTCGACATGCTGCGAACCGATGTTCTCCTTGGTCCGGAAATATAAAATGGTCTTGATACACGAAGAGCAATGACGTCGACGACGGGTGGAGCCAGTACGGTTGGCGCAAAGAGACGAGCAAGATGCATATAGATTGCGCAAACAACGAGCGATAGAAGATTGCAACAATGTATCAACAAGTTCGAAGGGGACGGTTAGAAGGATACTCCTCGATCTCTCGGGTGTAGACTTGTGGAGGTATGGATGCGGACAGCCGAGGCACGTCTAGCGCCCGTTTTGGAGGTGAGCGAGACGAGTCGACTTGTAGAAGCCGAATAGGGACAAGAAAGCTGATAAAAATACTCTGGAATAATTACAGATATCGAGACAAGATTTGAGAGAGCTAAATTGCGGAGATGCTGGTGCTGAAAGCATTCTGAGTGGTCGTGGTTACCAAGCGACGTTGACTTGGAAGCTGAGCCGCAAAGCTGAAGCAAGCTGTCCTGAGCTCCAGACCACCAAGAGCTCAAGCTCCAAACAGCTACAGCTCGTTCGAACAGCTATTCTAGATGGTCAAAAGTCATGTAAATGGCAATCAGACACTAAGGAGTGCATTTAATCGGACTATAGGTCGAAGATCAGTCGCAGCGACGCGGTGCTCGCGATGTCGCATTCGAGAAGATTCTTGCAGTAGTGTTACATTGATTGATCAGTAGCGAGCCGTGGTTGAAGAGCTGTCGTGTCACGTCGGGAGAAAAGAGGCAAACGTCAGTTGGTGTTGGTCAGGACAGGCGTTTCTATTCAAAAGCCTCCCCAATGTATGAGTAGAGGATTTTCTTGTTTGTTTTTAAGAAAGTCTTGAAAGAGCCCCGTCGTATCCTGGCCATGTCATCGTCCTTCCACAATTCATCCCTCCGGGCGTCAATAGAAAATAATGTACACGTCGATGTTTTGGTTTCCATGACCGGGGTTGACTTTGAACTCCCCAAAAGACATCGCTCATTGCAGAGGTGAAGACGTTTACACGTACTTGCACATCATGGCAACCATCAGGTCGAAAAGACCGATGGCCTCGACGAAGGCGAAACCAAGAATGGCGTAAGAGAAGAGCTGACCACGGAGAGAGGGGTTGCGGGCAACACCCTGGAGGAGGGCAGCGAAAACGAGACCGATACCGATCTACAGAGGAAGGGTTAGCTCAGAAAGATGACTTGTAGGGACGGGACTTCATGCGAAGTGAGATGGAAGATAAAGGTTGAGTTCCAAAACACCCCGACATGATATGCGAATGGGTACTTACACCGGCACCACCGAGACCGATGGCNNAGCGTTACCCATACCAATGTTCTGGGAGACCTGGACGAGGGCGTTGGCCATCTCGGAGGAGTAGGCGCGGCGGGCGGCAGGGGCGACCTTCTGGGCCATGGAGACGGCCTGGGGGCGGACGAAAGTGGCCTGGCGGAGACCTTGAGAGAGCGTCAGAACATTGTTGCTTCAATTCAATTGGGCTTGCCATTGATGGATGGAAGGCTGATGGAGGTGGAGGATGGTTCGATGTTTCGATGGAGGTGTGATGAGGTGACGTTGAGGTGGTGATGAATTACCAGAGAAGGCGCGCTGGGCGACCTTGGGCTGGACAGCGCGGAAGGCAGCAGGGCGGGCAGCCATCTGGGCGAACTTGGGGGCGATTCTGGAGGCCATTTCGACGATTTGGATGTGTGAAAGGGGATGGAGAGGAGAGTTGTTGATGAAGGATGGAAGATAAGGGTTGAGAGATCGGGGCGGAAGCTTTCCCTTGATGGACGACGAGTGAGAAGAGGTCAAGGGGGAAAGCCGTGGGAGCCCACGCAGAATTTTCTTGTACTGCCGGTCCGGTGGCCGTGTGATTTGGCCTTGTTTGCTTCACTCGGGGCCAGGCGGCGTAGCTTAACCGAGTCCATGTGGGTCTATTTCACTCCAGGGAGCTCAACAATTGGCCAGTTTCTCCCAACACACAGACCATCCGCCTCCGAATCCTGGCCGATGTTAGGAGTGTCAATTGCACTCACCACAGCAATGACTGCGAAGGAAAACAGAACAATGTCGTTCAACTTCGTGCAATGCAGTTTCAGAGCCCAACGAATTTGAGCTCATTCTGAGCTCAAAGCATAGTATATAGAGTGATATCATGAACAAATGACAGAAGTAATGGCCAAACATAGTCTAAATCAATAGCGCCCGCATCCGCGTCAGTGATCGAACTGGAGCTCCCCCAGCCAACTGTTTAGGCTGGGGTGTACTTTACCGGGAGTGAGCTGAGCCAAAGTCCTCTACTCGGTTTGATATTGAGTCTCGTTGACGGAATGTGGAATTGATGCGAAAGATGTCTTTGTGACAACGTGTTTGTGGAAGAGCACGCTTTTCATCGCCGGTGCGGTGTAGGCGGTTATGATTGTGATCCGTACAATATCCAAGCCCAAGTTGCTCGAGAGATGGACACATAGGTAGGCATGGCCGCTTGAGGATAGCGAATGGGTTGAGCCCTCCAGGAGTGCAGGAGTTGTGATGACCAGGTACGAATTGAGCGTCACATTTGAGACAGAAAATAAATGAGGGGACTTGTACTCTTTTGAATGGGATGCAAAAATGGGTCGAGATGAATACATCTTGAGACGACTTGCCTGTGAGAGCCAATTCCAGCAAGAAGCATGCAGACTAACCGTTCAAGGCATGCGGGTAGCAGAGACAAGCGAGCCGTTCCATTGCTCAAACAAGCAAAGTGTGCCCAGGATGCATGGAGCATGGGCGCCAGCCATCGAGCATGACTAGCTATCGTTGGCAGGGATAAAGGTAGCCAGCTGCCCACTTCTTCAAGAGCATTGGATTTTACCAGACTCGAATGTCGAAAGACGAAGCAAACAGAAAGGCCTCAGACGCAGTTCAAGATCCATGTGGCCGGTCGGTCGAGGTTGAATGTCGTGAGGTCAAAAGTCGTGGCGCCCGTGCCTTCCCGAGTCAACCCGACGATCGCTGCGAGCTTCAGCAAATTGCGCCCGCCAGGTTGAATGTGCGACGAGCCGCTGACGACGAGCACTCCAGCGACATGCTCATCAAGCTCTGGATGTCGTATCGCTTGCGTCTTGTTCATCCAGACAACTATGGACGCGAGAGCTCCAGCACTTTTGCTGGCTGCTTTGGAGATAGCTAAACCGATCGATAGACCAGGCCTCGGATCAAACAACCGGCGTGGAGACACCTGCTGCATTGTTCAGCTTCATCAAGGTGCCTGCAAGAGGCATGAAAGTCAACAAACGACGTCTGAACAAACGCGCCTTACGCAATCCCGCGTGCAATCAAGCCGCAGACTTGAGGCAGGAGCAGAAGCAGCTTCCCGGTCCTGCTGTGTCACGATTGCTCATGCTCGTGCCCCGTTACCCACGCCAGAGTCTTCCTCAACGACACTCGGCGGGTCGTAATGGTGCTTCCGTGAAGCTCTCATAGTTCATGGAACACATCCCAGAAACAATGCCCATCCAAGCCATGTTCGCAGCAATGAGCTTGGTATCCTCACGACGAGGAGTGAATGGTGGTAGCGACCTCTCTATAGGCAGGATACCCGTAGACCGAACAGAGACGATCAAAACACAGCCAGACTTCAAGCCTGAAGGCCACGCTAGTACAAAGCATACATCACATACACAAGGGCAAAGGACAAGCAGAACAGATGAGGTGTATGTGCAAAATATGCGCAGCGTGAATTCATATTCAAATTCTTCCCTTCCCGGTTCATAACGCCCAATGTAAATGCTTTCAGTTGAACTCCGCAGTGACTCCCATCTTTTTATCATAACCGTCCCAACTTTTCCCATTGATGGTCTAGTCCCTCTAAGCGTAGAGCTTCTTGTCGAAGCTGTGAAGACCGTGGACGTTACCCTCAGCCTGAGCAGAGACGGTACGGAGCTCGAATCTCACCTCGCCGTCAATGACACCTTGGCGAAGAGCGGTCAAGCTGGTGACACCAATGTCCTGGAGGGAGTGCTGGACACCCGAGATGAGGTAAGGAACGAACTTGGTGACGGATCCACGGTCGAGAACGGAACCAGAGACACCCTGGGCGACGAGGAGTCTGTCACCCTCGGAGAAGTAGCGGGCGGTACCGGCGTTGGAAGCCTTGGGGTCGTTGGGGTTGGTAGAACCAACACCGGCCTTCTTGTCCTCCATGGCGTCGATGGAACCCATACCTCTGTAGGCCTTGACGAGCTGACCCTCACGAGAGACGTAGGACTCACCGGGCGACTCGGTGGTGCCGGCAAGGAGACCTCCCATCATGACAGTGCTGGCACCGAGAGCAAGACCCTTGACGATGTGGCCAATGTTTTGGATACCACCGTCAGCAATGCAAGGAACACCGAAGCGGGCAGCGAAAGAGGTGACGCTGTGGACGGAAGCAGCCTGAGGACGACCAACGGCCATGACCTCTTGGGTGATGCAGGCAGAGCCGGAGCCCATACCAATTCTGAGACCGTCAACACCAGCAGCGATAAGACCGGCGGCCTGCTCGCGAGTGACAACGTTGCCACCAATGACATCAAGACCGGGGTGGGTCTTCTTGATGTACTTGATCATCTCAATCTGGTACATGGAGTTACCCTGAGAAGAGTCGAGGATGACAATGTCGAGACCAGCGTCAACGAGCTTCTGGAGACGAGCCTTGTCGTCGGGACGGGTACCGATGGCGGCAGCGGCGATCAGCTGCTTGGAGTCTGAGAGCTTGGAGGCGAGAGGATAGTTCAAGTTCTTCATCAAATCGGAGCGGGAAACGAGCGAGATCAGGTTGCCGTTGTCGTCAACGATGGGAAGCTTGCCCTTNTTGGACTTTTGCAGGATGGCGTTGGCCTCAGTGAGCTCAATGCCGCTCTTAGCAGTGACGAGCTCGGTCGACATGACCTTGCTGACGGAGTCTCTCAGGTTGTCGTGGAACTGGATATCACGAGGAGTGATGATACCGAGGAGCTTAGAGCGAAGCTTGCCGGACTCNTGCAGAACCATATTAGCCGTGCTGTTTCCAAGAGAAAACCCAAGCAGAAAACAGGATTGTGCGATTTTTCAGATTCCAAAATATTTCTCCACAACAGATTGACTTGAATGCGGTTGAACGAAAGTTATTATATTTGTTGAGTCATCCTCAAACGCGAAGAGCAAAGAAAGAAATATTGGCTTACCAGTGACGGGGAAACCACCGAAACCAAGCTTCTCCTTGAGGGCAATGGCCTCGCCGACGGTGGTCTCGGGCGAGATGACGACGGGGTCGAGGATGAAACCGTTCTCGTAGCGCTTGACCTTGCGGACCATCTCAGCCTGGTCTTCGGCAGAGCAGTTGTGGTGGATGACACCAAGACCACCGAGCAGAGCCATGTGGATGGCCATGTTGTGCTCGGTGACGGTGTCCATGGGCGAGGAGAGGAGGGGAGTCTTGAGGGAGATGCGCTTGGTGACGGGCGAGTCGAGGGTGACCTCGTTGGCGGAGAAGCCTNNGAATTGAGAAGTAAGCACGCTGATAATCGTGCGCGTGCGCATTCAGCGGCTCATACCAATGTAACCAGGGAGGACCAGGAAATCGTTGTAGGTCAGACCACCGTTGTTCTTGGAGTCGAGGAGGGTCTGGACATTGATGCCATCACGCTCGGAGTACTCGCTCTTGGCAATGTCGAGGGCGTTCTGGTAGTCAAGGATCTTCTCCTTGTGAAGAACAGGAACCTGGGTGGTCATGTTGGCGGAGTGTCGTGTGTCGTGTGATTAGAGTAGAAAAACAGATAAGAAGAAAGGACAAATGACGCAAATGGGTATCTCAATTGAAAATAGTACGACGAAGAGGTCGACGGGTTCAAGTGTGAATGCTTTCCCCAAGAAAAGAAGAGAGAAAAGAGAGTTGTTCGAGATTTTCTGCGCATCCTCGACGCGCAGGCTCCGGTCAGGGTCTGCAAGCGATCTGTGCACTCAAGTTTGCAATGTTTGACTCTCGGTCTTAACAGGACCCTTTCTGGTTACCGCCGCCATCATCAGCTTTCCAGGTTGTCGTTCACCGAGTCCAGCAGCCTGCACTCAATAGTAGACACTTCAGATCGAGGCGCTACGTAGTCGCAATAGCCAAGTACCTTATCAGGCAGCTGTACCATCAACCCATGTCTCAGTTCTTGTCGGTCATTTTGTCTTTCTCCGGACAATTTGAGAGGAAGTGGGATGCCTCGATGAGAGCATCAGCCAGCCCGAGAGGGAAAACAAAGCATGCAAATCAGTCCTTGGGAATGCAGAAGTGCACTTGATCATCCAGGGTGCTCATCGCTACGAATTTTGTTGAAGCGATTCTCTCTTGTCAAGTCTGACCGTAATTGATGCAAGGTATAACAGATAGAAGGGACCCTTGATCGGTCAGTTTAGTGTTTGGGTAACTTTGGTTTCGGGGTGCGGGTGGGTTTGTTGACACCAAGCAAAACAACAAAGTCGAGCTTTTCGGCCCACCACTTTCCTGCATACATCACGCCGGCCTGCTGCTCTGTCCAGCGCCAACTATTTTTCGAGGCCACAAGTATCTTGTCTGCTAGGACAGAACGGTCGTTTCAAAAGCCTCTGACTCTGTTCCGCAAGCGAAATCAAGAACGGGTGTTGCAACGGGCGTGTTTACGGGGACTGAGCGTTGCAAAGCAATCGATTTCTGCCCTGCTATGCCGTCTGGTCCAGTCGACGACTTTTCCCTTGTCTGCTGCTTGTACTGTCATTGCTAATAGCAGTGCTGCGGGCGACGTCGCCGCTCTCTTTCGACAAACAGCTCGCCGTCCCGCTGCTTGTGTGAGTGCCGCCGGGACACTGACAAGTCGGAAATCGCACTCCTTCCCCATCCATCCAGGGTCGCTCCTTCCCTAAGACAGCATGGCATATCTACATCAATCACGCGGGCAAGCGCCAGGGTCTCCTTCAGTGCCTGGCAGCCCACTCCGCCATACGACCAGCGTATCAACGAATCACCTGCACCACAAACGGGGACTCAGCGAGGCCACCGGCTCGCCCAAGGCAAAGGGGTTCTGGGAGGCCAAAGAAGCCAATGTCGCGCCTGTTACACCTGAACAGTTCCGCACCGCTCTAAGGCCTTTACAACAGGCCCCGGGAACATCGCCTGCTCAGCCCTCGCCGCATTCGCTATCGCATACCCAATCACACTCGCGCTCCAAGAGTCTGCATGACTCTAGGATGGACCCCTTCAATGACAGCACCCCCAATTCCCTGTCTGCCTCGCCCATGCCCACATCACCACCGATGAAGTCTCGACCGCATTCGCTTGCAATCTCCCGCTCCGACTCCGTACGAGCCCCTATCCACGACCGTGGCAACCGCAATTCTGCTCACGTCCACTTCGCTTCGCCGAGCCACATCGAGAAGTCGGAACTGCAAGGCTTGCAAAGATCAGCTACAAAACACCTGCGCACACTTAGCAAATTTGCCCAGACCACCGACGATGACGACTTCTCGATCAAATCTCCAGAGCAAGAGGTCGTGGGTCTGCATGGCCGCAGGAGGTTACAGCGTACCATGACAGCAAAAGAGAAGAAAGGCACAGAGAATACAAGCAAGTTCACAAGCAGTTGGGAGGCCAGCAAGTGGATGGACCGTCAGCGTCAATTCTTGCAGGCCTATGAATATCTGTGTCATATTGGTGAAGCTAAAGAGTGGATCGAAGACATTATTCACAAGCAGATCCCTGAAATTGTTCAGCTTGAAGAGGCACTCAGAGACGGTGTCACATTGGCTGAAGTAGTGCAAGCCATCCATCCCGACCGACCTATCCGCATCTTCAAACACGACCGCCTACAATTTCGCCATTCCGACAACATTGCTCTATTCTTCCGCTTTCTTGCCGAGATGGAACTGCCCGAGCTCTTCCGTTTTGAACTGGTCGACTTGTACGAGAAAAAGAACATTCCCAAGGTCATCTACTGCATCCATGCTCTGTCGTGGCTTCTTTTCCGCAAAGGAGTCGTAGACTTCCGCATCGGTAACCTTGTCGGTCAATTGCAGTTTGAGGACCACGAGCTCGAAGCCATGCAAAAAGGTCTTGACAAGGCTGGCATTAGTATGCCCAACTTCTCAGGCATGGGAGCCAATTTCGGTGAACCAGAACCAGAACCGGAACCCGTTGAGACAGACGAAGAACGAATCCAGAGAGAACTCTCCGAGCACGAAGCCATGATCGAAGACTTGCAATCTCAGGTTCGCGGAGCTATGGTCAGATTAAAACTCGGTGACACCATGAATCAGCTATGGGACGCCGAAGAAGCCATCGTTGACCTTCAATCAAGGATCCGTGGAGACTTCGCTCGCCAAGTTTCAAATTATCGCATGGATATGAAGAGGTTCGCTGTTCAGCTTCAGAGTGCTGCTAGAGGCTTCCTCATTCGCAAGCGTCGCAGCAACCGTGAGCAGACTTGGAAAAGTCAAGAGAAGCAAGTCGTCACTCTTCAATCGCTCTTCAGGGCTCGTAAAGCAAGAACCGAAGTCAAGCGAATGCGTACTCACATGCAGGAGCAAGAAATGGGCATCCGCAACCTTCAAGCCGCTATCCGTGGAGCGCTGGGTAGATGGAATGTCAGTGACCAATACGAAGCGACACGCGAAGCCGAAGAACCAGTTCGCTGGCTTCAAGCAGCAATCAGAGGAGCCATCAAGCGAAAGCAGATTGAGCGCCAGATTGAAGAAGGTCACGCCTCTGAGGAGCACATCGTTTCTCTACAAGCCGCCATCCGAGGAGCTCTCCGAAGAACTCAGGTCGAGCGTCAACTCGAGGATAGCCGGGCGTCTGAGCAAGATGTTGTCGCCCTGCAAGCCGCAATCAGAGGTATGCTCGAGAGAAAGGGGCATGCCGCGAATGCCGATCTGCTTAGGAAGCATTCGAGATCTGTCGCAACACTCCAACATGCCATGGCTGGCTTTATTCAGCGTCGAAAGCTCGAACACACCCGCATATCCCTAAAAACAGAGGCCCCTGCCTGGCTTGCACTTCAATCTGCAGCGCGTGGTCAGAAAGCAAGACGTACGTTCAGAAAACTCAAATCGGACCTCCAAAAGCAATCGTCTTCGATCGTCGCATTGCAGTCCGCTTTCAGAGCTGGATGTAGTCGCAAGGATGTAAACGCCATCAGGGATGCACTCAGTTACCGCGAAAACTCAACTCTTGATTTCCAGAGCTCTGCTCGTGGCCATATGTTCCGCAAGAAGCATCATGCCGATGTCAACGCTCTGTATACCCAGAAGTTAGCGATCAGAGATCTCCAATCTCTGTCGAGAGCCTATCTCGAGCGTCAAAGAGTATTTGATGTTTTGTGTCAGCTTAACGAGCAAGAGGACCAGATTGTCGAGTTGCAGAGCATTGCTCGCGCCCTTCTCGGCCGCCGCGACATTGGTACTCTTCTTGGTCAACTTGAGGACGAAGAGGACGCAGTCATGGAATTGCAATCTGCGATTAGAGGATCACTTGTGAGGCGAGACTTTGCCGAGAAGCAACGCTTCTACAAGGAGAACATGGAGAAAGTCATCAAGGTCCAGAGCATAATCCGCGCCCGTCAACAAGGCCAAGCCTACAAAAGCTTGACCAGTGGAAAGAACCCACCTGTTGGTACAGTGAAGAACTTTGTTCATCTCCTTAATGATAGCGACTTCGACTTTGACGAGGAACTTGAGTTCGAGAGATTGCGAAAGACTGTGGTTCAGCGCGTACGACAGAATGAGATGGCTGAGCAATACATCGATCAACTTGATATCAAGATTGCGCTGCTTGTCAAGAACAAAATCACCCTCGACGAAGTTGTCAAGCATCAACGACACTTTGGTGGTCACATTGGCAGTCTCCTGAATAACACGGAGATCTCTTCCAAAGATCCTTTCGACCTCAAAGCCTTGAACAAGAATTCGAGGAGGAAGCTTGAGCACTATCAGGAGCTGTTTTTCCTCTTGCAAACCCAACCACAATATCTTGCACGTCTCTTCCACAAGCTGAAAGAACAAGGTATGCCAGAGCAAGAAGGTAAGAGGATCGAGCTGCTCATGATGGGACTCTTTGGCTTTGCGCAGAAGCGTAGGGAGGAGTACTACCTCTTGAAGCTAGTGACACGCTCTGTTCAAGAAGAAGCAGAGCACAGTGCTTCTCTACAGGATTATCTCCGTGGCAGTTTCTTCTGGAGCAGATTGCTATCTGCTTATGTGAGAAGTCCCCGCGATCGCAAGTACATGCGCGATCTGTTCGGACCACTGGTCAGGGAAAGCATCTTCGAAAACGCAGATTTGGACCTTGAGAGCGATCCAATGCAGATCTACCGTGCTTCGATCAACAACGAAGAGCTCTCTACTGGACAGCGCAGTCGCAGGAACCCAGACATCTCACGTGAAGAAGCTATTCGCGATCCTGAGACCAGAGATCTCTTTGTATCACATTTGCAAGATCTCCGCGATATTTGCGACCACTTCTTCATCCTGCTTGAAGAGACTCTACCTCGTATGCCTTACGGTCTGAGGTTCATTGCCCAGCAAACTTTCAACACGCTTGTGACCACCTTCCCTGGAGAAAGTCAGCAGCATCTCCTCCAAGTGGTCGGGCACTGGCTATGGAAGGCCTACCTTGCTCCTGCATTGACTCAACCAGAGATGTGGGGTATCATCGATAGAGGTCTAAGCCCCATACACAAACGAAACTTGGGAGAAGTCAGTAAAGTTCTCGGTCAGGT